GCTGTCCCCGGTGCGGTTCCGCAGCTCGTTCATCTGGGTGTGGGGCGGCGCTGCCAGAGAGAAGGGCCCGTCCAAGTGCTCCGCGTAGAGCGGAGCCCTGAGAGGAGAGTTTTATTTACACACATGTCCTTGGCTACTGGTGTGTTTTGTCCCTATGGGTTTTACTTGATTGACAATTTGTCCTTAAATCAACCAATGTGACCAGACTTAAATCAGAAATGAAATACTTTAGTTTTTTTCCCCCTTTGTTTATAACAAATCTGAATTTCCATTGGCTGCCACAATGACATGTTGTATGTTGTGCCTTGGTAGGTCTTCTCGGGCAGGTGGTTTAAAGCTGGTCTGGATCGAGGACCCACCGTCACCCTGTCATGACTACGGGCGACTCATATGGAGGAGAAATTTGAACTTAGAAAAAACGTAAGTTTTTTTTTTCATTTAGTCTGTGTCGTACCTGCATTTTGCCATGCTCAGTTACAAAATGTAAATAGTGTGTCTTCTATGATGTTAAATGTTGGATGTCAACTCGAATTACATGGGCAATGTCGCCATCCACTGTTAAGGAGCACGAATGGGGAGACTCTGCTGAAAACTAGTCCGCGACCCACTTGTTGAGAGTTACTGTTCTAGGCTACTGTTATAGTCCTAGTTCTTCATCCATCACAGACACCAGAGATACAGATACTGTAGTCCAAAAGTTTTTTCTGATTTCACTCATTGAGCTGTAGGCAAATGAACAACACTCTCGGGCAAAACAAATGCAATCGCAGTTGGGAAGGTCCTTCATTACTGCTGTAGCTGCGTTTCCTTTTCTGCCAGTCAAAGGCAAATTACAAGGACTTACTCTCCACGGCAGGGGGACAGTTTAATTTCCCAGATAGAGTGATTACATCCTGCTGACAACTGTGTGTTTATCTATCATAACGTTAAGGCTCACTGATATTTTAAATTGAATCGTACATCATGCTGTGGAGACTGATTTGAGTTACATCACTTCAGATCCTTTCAAATAAAAAGTGAAACTTAGGATGAGCGTATGGATGGAAAAAATGTGAGCGTGAGGTTGAAGACAAAAGTGGAGGCCAAGGACAGCAGCTTTCACAGACCTGTTGTTGTGATATCCTACAGATCCGTTGGCCTCTCGGTGTTTGTCTTCTGGAATGTCCTGGGCCAGCTCTGCGCCCAGCGCCAGTTTCTGCCACTCCTTCTTGCGATCGTGAGGCACCCGTGGTATCTTCTCTGGCTCCTGCGGGCGGTCGATGGCCTTCAGCTTCAGTGACGGAGGGTGAGTAGGGAACAAGATGAGTTTTTTTTTTTTTGGATGAAAGTGATTGTGAAATGAAGGACGAACAAACCAGGGACAATTTATGGATGAGGAGGAAAAGAGGGGGAGGAGAGAGGGAAAAATCAGGTTAGATGGAGATGAAAAAACATTTAAGATTTCATAACGAAACAAAACGACAAATTAAATAATAACAGGATTTGGTTTAAAATGATCATCAACCTAAGGCTAGGCTACAAAAATGCTATAAAATAACATGTCTTTAACAACTGCCGCTTACATTAACTTCCAAATGAAAACTAAAACAAAAAAATTGCCACTGCCTCTTTAGTGGCAAAAGTGAGCATTGTCAAACTGTTACACAAATACAATTTATTAAACAGTGAAAAATTTGTAAAATAAAAATTAGCTTAGTAAGCCATAGAAACGTTACCATAAAGAGACAGACAGACAGACTTTAACTTGACCACATTTACAAATCTGAGGATCTATATTTTTTGTCTTTAACCTCTGCACTCTGTACTTCCCAGACTTTAACTTGACCACATTTACAAAACACATTTTACAGAAATGTAACAACCGAAAGAAAGCAAGAAACACAGAACTACTGAGGCAGAAATCACACAGTATTTCATAAGTAATCACAGTATTTTTCACATACCTGCCCTGGAAGGTCTAAGTACCTATAGACCTGATCATACATGCGGGGATCCTGCAACTACAAGAACAAAAACAAAAACCACAAGAGAAGCACCAGGGGTGAGGGGAGGGGGTTCCAAAAAAATCAACACAGCACAGGATTGAACGCAACTAACACAGCTGCACACATTCACATCAGAGACAACGACGACGACGACGACAACAACAGAGTGGGTGGTGGGAGCGAGTGGAACAAAGGAGGAAGAAAAGTGCTGTTAAACAGAAAATGACAGCGTGCACAGCTCCGGGGGACACCAAAATGCAGGTGGGAGGCAGGTGCACCCATGGTTCCACACACACACAGGGACATATGCACACACACACACACACACACACACACACACACAAACCAAGTCAAGCTTCAACACAACAGAAGATGCAGGGAGAAGGAGATGTAGCTGAAATGGGAGGACAGACTACAGAGGTCTGTGGGACGTTTAACAAGACACAGACTGAAGACTGACTGACTGACACACACACACACACATGCAAACATACTCTGACACCTGCCTGCATGCAAGTAAACTCGATTAAAAAGCAGCTCAAGTATCAAGAAAACCAAACAGGGTCATTTTATACATTTTCATCCTGAAGTTAAAAAGCACAAAAAGACCTTAATCAATCAAAATGATAAGTTGTGTTGTCACATTGTTGTTGTTGTTTGATGTCATCTTCATTAACAGTTACAGACACTCTCTCTGACGGATGCATGTATTAATAGCTGAGGTGTCACTGTTTACTGGGCTGTTGCTACTACTCCCCCCCCCCTCCAGCGCCTCCCCTCAGATGGTGCTGTCAGAGCAATGTTGCAATAAATAAGATGTTGAATTTTGGTGGGTGTTTTTCTGCCTGCACTTATGTCTTTGGACAGAAGCACATTTAAAGCAATGACAGAAACTCTATTTGGGAAAAGTGTAGCTTTTCATCCCGTGGTCATTCAGATTGTGTATTACACCTAACCAGACACTGGGGGCGCTTAACACATGGTACAACTGGTACCTCCTAGTACTGTATGGTTTTACAGATGACAGACAGACAAGTTTTGCATTTGCTATAAAGAGTTTGGGAGGCCGTTTTCTAGACCAGGGCTCTGAAACTCACGGCATGTGGACCACGTCTGGTCCACAAACCTCCTATATTTGGGCCAGACTGGATGTTGTTAATAGTGTAGTTGGCTGTTGTGTTTGTTTACCATCGAACTCATCCACTCACTTGAGTCTGAGAGCTCTACTGTTGTGTCTATGATGAGGTGAACGTGTCGGAGTCTTCCGTTCTACAGATATGCTGACTAACTAACTGCTGACTGATTCGACACAGTGTGGGTTGTGGACAGCAGCACATCTGCTTTTGCTAAATAATGCAGTGAACCTGGCCCGTCGACCTCTGCTGGGGCTCAGCTGCTGAGAGCAAGCGTGGGAATAAATCCCGGTGGTAATGCACATTGATTAGGTTCTGATTCATTATGGCCCATTACCCATGATGAGCACTGGCAAAGGGGTAAGCCTCAGCCATCAGGCGCACACACACACGCAGGCACACAAAACACACACAGGACTATCAAAAACAAAAAAACAGTGTCTCCCAGACAACACCAACACACTCATACATCAGAACTGACAAAAGTTGAGTGAGCACAGCGTGCTGACAAAACCATCTGCATCAGACATTTCACTTCTCACTCCTCTCCAGTTTTCCAACCTGTGCTAATCCTGTTTGTTGGAGAAATCATTGGGAAGATAAGATTTTCTACGACAACTTCTGGAAAGCATGAGCAGGAATTAGATCCTGATGAAATTCCTTACTAAATAGCACCATTTAAAAATCATTGGGAGTGCTTCAATATGTGTTTATACTGGGATTATACCTTTGATAAATAAGACACAGCGCTTTGGTGTTTTTGTCTGTGCTGGTGACAACAGTGATATATGGAGGCAGTTTTAAGCGGTCGTCACCCTTCATCTGACTGGTAATGGCAGTGAAAATGTGGCTGTGTAAGCAACTCCCTGGCTGCTGATATGTCATATGTATGTGAACTCTGCTCCTTCCCATAACCAACAGCATGTGCATTCCTGAAATGCATGTTTGTGTGTGTGTGTGTGTGTGTTCATGCTCAGTGTGACAGACTCAGCAGAACTGTCTCCATGTTAGTGGGTAAATAGCCCCCACAGGGAGGCTGCAGGCCCCTGGACCACCCAGCTTCTAACAATAACATAAATCCTAACACAAAACACTCATTTGTGCTGCCTTTTTACCACTGTATCTGCAGCAGTGTTTATGTATTGGTACTGTATTAATATCACTGGTCTCATCTATTTCATTTGTATCAAAGAAAATGTTTCTTTTATATTCCTTTTCTTTTACTACCACTTTGTTGGAAATACCATTTATAACCAGCAGGTGGCACCTGTCCTATAATTCACTTACAGTATCTCTGGGTATGCCTGTATACATGCACAGTAAGACTTTACTACGTAAACTTAGATATTTTTTAAGTTGTATGTTAAGTAGTTACAGCTTTAGTTAAAAAAAAAAGTTTCTCACAACTCAAGGTGGAACCTGCTCCTGAATGTGCATGGTTTTTAAAGAAATCTTTCATGGTTTGTGTTTTTATACAATTTTAAGGTCCACCAACATTTCTAAATAAGACATTGCAAAAGTAGATCTAACGGGGGAAATATTATATTATTCTAATTTGTTGATTTGTCTGTTAGTTTGTTAGTGAACTGTTCAGATTTTGACTGAATCCCAAGCTTATTATGATCTAAATTTAGTTAAAGGTGAGGCAGGTATGCACTGCAGTTAATATTCACTGCTAAAACCTTTAGGAAGAGAATAAAGGTTACATTTCTAACAAAGCATTCTATTTACAAAGAAGGCTACTTTATAATCAGTTAAAGATATATTTTCTGGGACGTGTTTCTTTGTCGACTGACAGAAACTATATTTTGACATTTCCAAAACCCCTGTTTCTGTGTAAAATCTGGGATGCAGCCAAAGCAGGTAAATGCCCGAGGGTTGTTAGTAACAGAGGGAAACTCACTCTTCTGGAGCAAACCAAAAGGTAAAGAGGGGAAGGCTGCAGGCTACCGAGCACAGAGCAGACACTGCCAAGTGCAAGGTCAAGTTTGGGTTTGGGGAAGGATCTTACCTCTGAGGGGGTGAGGAAGGGAGGAGGGGTTTCAGAGAGGAGGCTTATAAAGCCAGTGGGACGCACTAGATAGGGAAATTCCAGCTGCACACAGTTGTACCAGAATCAGGAAAAGGATGAAAAGAAGAGTTAAAGGGAAAAGTTCTGTGCACTAATAAATAAATTAAAAAATAAATAAAGAGAGTAATAAGTTTATAAAAATCTATCGGAATCTACATTAAACTTCAATGTAGATTATTCAGTTTACTTGAGGAAATTTATAAAACTTGAAAAAGTTTTTATTTCTAAATGGTTAAAAAAGGGAATAATAATATCACACTTGGTCACTCATTTAAAAAAAAAAGAAACTGATAGAAAAGCTCAGTTAAAGGCCAATAAATTAAAATGTAGACTTTTTTCAAATTGATATTTTTAAACCTACTCTCTCACTGTCTGGCTCTTCAGATGTTCTTCACACTTCTTCACCAATCACCTGTGGCAATGCTAATTTTTTTTTTTTTATCCACAGCCTTGTCGATTTATGCAGCTGTGCCGTTGGTGTGCAACAATGGACACCCGCAGATTTTAATGAGCACTGGCAGTAATAGCTTGAAGGTAAGACCAATTCAGGAAACATTTTTATTCCTGTTTTTATATACTTCAAACGGACAGGGCGGAATTTAAATGTCACTATTTTCAATTGAGATGCCAGTGAGTGGTATAATGACAGGAGTGGGGAAAAGGTAGAGCCGAGGGGGGATTCTCCGCAGGAGACTCAAACTCAGAGACAGACCTGGAAACAGACTGATGTTGGGTTTGTCTCTCAGCACATACTTTTTCTTCCCAGCCCTTCGGTTTGTAAGCCTCTGACTCAGTTCATCACTCAGACTAGCTCAGCACATTGTCTGCTGCTAATCCACTCAGCCTGACGCTAACACGGCAGTTAATGTGATTAGCGGGCTGCCTGGGTTTGTTTTACCTCTCTTTTGTCTCTTTGCTGCTCTTCATTTATTGCTCATCTAATCTATGTGTTCCACCTGTGTGGAGTTTCACTATCGCCTGAACAATAACTAAAAGAGAAAACACCTGGTCATCATTTATTTATTGTGGAGCCCTCTCCTGGTCAACACATTCACACCTTCTGAAAAATTGCCAGTCCTACTGATAAACCACATTACATCATAAATAGCTCCATGTCCCCAATGTTGGGAACCACTCCTCAAGATACATTCAATTAGCCTTGTGTTGTCAGATACCATATTGAGTTCACATTTCCTCTTTAAATTGACATTGTTGTGTGTGTGTGCATGGATATGTAGAATGGTTTTCTTCTTTTTAATTAAAGACAGATCTGGACTGCAGGCTGGCCAGTAGAGCACACGCATTATTTTGTCCAGCTAACCAGCATTATACAGAACCTCCCACACTGTTACTCGAATGACCTTGTTACAATTTAAATTACTCTGTATCATGTACAGCTGTGCATATAAAGTAATGTCTGTCTTTGAAAAAAATGTGGTGCACAACAAGAGAGTGAAAAAGAAAGAGAGAGACAGAGGGAGAGAGAGATGGAGAGAGAGAGAGAGAGAGAGCGAGCGAATAAGCCAGAAAAAATGCTGGATATAGAAAGACAGGCACAGGTAGAATATTATCTGTGACGGCACAGAATGTGTCGGCAGCAGGTTTCACACAGCTTTACAGTGAAAAATGTCACAGTCTGTCAGCCTCACCACCGCATCTGTGCATATCAATGTGAGTGAGTGAGTGAGTGAGTGTGTGTGAGTGTGTGTGTGGGGGGGGCTGTCCCAGATAACTGACACTCCAAATAGTTGAAGTCCAAATCCACGAACTATAATGGATGTCTCTACAGTAATTGGCTGGTGAAATAATAAGTACAAAGTATACACATAATTACAGCGACACAAACAGCCTACGAACACCGTGATGGAGGCACAAACTAAGGTGACGTGGCAGAACCACTCAATCAGCAGAGTGACGCAGAGTAAATCTATCAACGTTTCATGCTCTAAATTTCCCTGTTAGTGACTATAACGGTGTGTGCGTGCCATAAATGTGTGTGGGAGTGTGTGCATAACTCATGATTTTTCCACTTGTCACCCTTCAGATGACTTCTGCACACATCACTTCTCCACCGCCCATTTACCCCAGTCCTCTCTCAGCCCATTTATCTGCTGCGATGGTTACACAAACCAACAAATATGTGTGAGTAATCCCTCTAATCCATGCTGCCCTCCCCGTGAATCTCCTTCTAGGCCTTTCCATGGGGTCTCTCTAACTACCCGTGTGGAGGCGAGGAAAATGAATGAGGCTTTAACAGCCCTGCCCACCCGGGGCTTTAATTACAATGAAATAACCAGAATGAGCTCCGGCTACTCCTAGTGATAGCATGCTAACTCTGTGCTCAGTAAATGAGATCTGTGCACCGTTGCAAATGTGCTGTGTATTTAATTTAACATTCCAGCAGGAAAAAATAAATAAAATCAATACATTCATTATCATCAAGCGGAATATCTTTAACCTCCCGTTCTGTCCTCTGCTCTGATACTTGGCTGTACTGCACCCTCCCCCTCCCGCACCCTCCCACATGAAGCAACGCTATGTGTAGAAAATCGCACTTCTCTCCTCATTCCCCATCCACACCATTGTAACTTGGATTGACCGAGAGGGGGCAAAGTGTGGAGCGTGCCCTGCTTCCCACACAGGGACATTCAAGCTGGTACCGATTACAGCTCCTGGTGCTGAGAGTGGGAAACCCCTTTCATTGAAGTAGTGGGTTACAGTGTTTGATGTCAGATAAGGAGAGAGAGAGGGAGACAGAGGGAGAGGGAGATGAAGGGGAACGAGGATCTGAATGAGCTGTTTCATTTATTTGTTGTGTGTTTGTTAATGGAAATTAAACCAACACAAGCCAATTTGGATGTGTGTGTGTATCGGCATGTGTGTGTGTGGTGTGTGTGTGTATGGGTGCAGGTTTTTCTCATGGCTGCATGTGAGTTTGTGCGTAGCTGGAGGGATGATGTGCAGTGAACAGCAGATGTTCCCATTAATTACATGTAATGATCACAGCAGTGATAACTAAGAGGGCTGAGTGTGGGACGACTTGATTCTTTTACCATTGTAGTCTTAATTAATGCATTAGAGAAAACGCTGAAGAGTCAGGCCTGTAAATTTAACAGTAAATCACCAGGGGGCGGTCCTGGGTTTGAGATTTTACCCTCTCACTGACCTCACTTTTCCCTAAAAAAAACACCTCCGATCACGATGCTGTACACACAACACCGACTGGAAATATATACTGCAAATAGAACTGCAAATATACTGCAAATATATAAATATATATAAATATGTGCACTGTCAGGACCCTGCGCTGGTGATTTAAGGAAACACGCACCTTCTGTTTTCGCCTCTCCTTCCTCTTATCCTCAGTGTCCTGCAGCATCTTTTTCCTCCACAGATCAAAGAAATAGGACGGATCAGTGTAGAATTTTAGACCCTCCTTTCCATCATCCCTGTGGACGGAGAAACAAAAACTCAAAAATTTGGATTGATCATTGATATTTGGAAGTTTTTCTGGCAAGACTGTAATTGGGGGCTGCTGGGTGAAGAAGCAAAAATATAAAATGAAGGCAGTTCTACCCTGCGTGAACAGCAATACTGTTTATGGATTACTCATCTTCAGAGAGCAGGAAAGAGGCACGGGCTGCATGTTATATATACACACACATCTGGGAGCTCTCAGAAATGCACTATAAAAGGTACGCGGAGATAATCACACAAACAGGCCATGCAGTATTTTAGGCACTTTGCACTCTAAACGGCCTGAGATCAAATGTACTTTTATAAAGTACCAGGCTTTAAAAATATTTGACAGATGTACTGCACTTAAGAACAGACAAAATTCAAGGCTGTTTTACTGCTTTTATGTCGAAAGAGTTGGAAGTAATTATTTCCTTTTTTTGTGTCCAGCCATAAAACACTAATGCAGTGATTTTTCCTCATTTAACAGCCTGGCAGGGAAATGTCAGTGAAGTTAACATTAACCTGCTTGTAGTAAACAATTCTTGGAGCAGTGGTTTGGGATGTCTGTGTGTTTATAAATTTGTTTAGAGATGATAAATAGAACCCTCCTCTGTTTCCATTTTTCTGCGATGGAAAACCGTCATACAGTAGTAAAATTAGACCTGTAGGGCGACAGGATGTTGAGAGGCGGCGGCTGCTCGCAAGTCTGGAAGGTCTCCTGCAGTGGGATGGGCAACGATGTGCGGTCGAAAAGCTGCTGGTCCTGAATAGTAGAACTCCTGAAAGCCTTTCTCATGGTGATGTCCTGGAGAGACACTGGGACAAAAGTAGTTGGAGACCAAATTAGAACATGTAGTTATGTATATTGAAACTTTTTTTACACATATGCAAAGTTGGAAGTCGATCCCTGAGTACCCTTGGTTTACTAGTAACGGATGATGAAATACTTGACTGTCATGTGGTGTCGTTGACATACCTCAAGTGCTGTGTCATGAAGCATGTCAGTATGAGGTAATCTGATGCCCTGGTGTTTGGCCCTTCAGTGATATTTTTTTGTTAAGTAAATTAATTTAGATTAGTCAGTGACAACACAGACTCGAGATATTAATAGCCTTTTTATTAAAATCTTTCCAGAAATTGATTTTTTTTTTTTTTTAGAAAAGTTCATCGTTCTCATTTGGCCACAGTTTCCTGCGGTGACATTTACATGTCGACCGGCTCTCTGTTCCACTCTCGTCTCTCACAGACACAACAATTACCACTTGACTCTGCTTCATCATTATTGCAATCAAAGTTGACATTAACATAATCACTCCAACAGTCACAATCAACTTTATGGAGCACTAAACCTGTTAGAAACCACTAATCACAATCATGCGGGCCATCTCTACATTGATGTCTAATTGGCTGATTTTGATTCTCACCAGGGCAAATTAACAAATGACAGCTAGACTGGGGTTGTGCTGGACGTGGCTGAGGTCGTTTGTCAGAGGCTGAGGGACTAATTGCCCTTCTTTGATACAGAAACAGCTGACATTTACTCGAGGCAGATGAATAACACGGGGAAATCAATGCCGCATAGTTGAAGCTTTCAGAAAAACAGTCTGGAAACATGGCTGAGGGAAAAGAAAACAGACCCATCTTGATGGACCAAATTAAAGAAAAAAATATCTTGGAGATAAATCTAGAGCGTTGCAACCGGATCTGAATTATGTAGGAGGCTTGGACAAACGGGAACACTTTCCTTTTGCCCTGGGGAAGAGTGAAAACACTCATGTGGCATAAAGAATATTATAGATTCCAGTTATTATGTTTTCTTTGTGTGTGTCAGAAAAAACTTAGCAACAGAAATGACTGTAGATCTGGTGAAGAGCAAGCAGAAAATATGAAGAAATCTGTAATTAAATAAGAGAAAAGAAAGAACTGGCTAAAATAATCTAATCTGATCCCCTCCATAGCAGCATTATCTCAGGATAATGACTTACTCAGACTCTCCTTGTAGCCACCTGAGGCATTAAAATATTACAACAAACCAGAGTTTGTACCGCACTAGGAAATACGAGAAAGGGCCAGAAAAAAACAAAAGAAGGGGTAAATCAAACCTCATGTACACAGAGGTGCAGGGTAATAGAGGAATGAGGAGAGTAAAAAGACAAACTGTAAGACTTCCACTGTATGGAAAAGCAGCAACAGTGACCTGAGTGCAGTCGGAGGCTGGTTTGGCTTCATGGGAAAAACAATAACTGACAGAAAACAAGCAAACAGCACCATGGACTGTAAATACACATTGTTCATGGTTAAACAGAATGACAGTGATGACAGCTGCTGCTTTTTGGGTCCTCCTGCCTTTGTTAGCATGCAAATGAAAATCACATGTTTTTTTGCTTTTTTTTAACCATACAATTTTTTTAAGCATCATTGGAACATTTAGATATTACAGGAACCATACAATTTTTCATCATCATTGGAACATTTAGATATTACAGGGCTTACTTGGGGGATTTCTTTGACTTTGGGCTTATTATATGCTACATGTAATTTGATTTGATTAAATGAAAAACATTTGAGAGATGGATTGAAGGTCTCAACTTTTGCATTATCTTGTACATACTGTACTCATTTAATGATTAAATGTTTGCCGTATCTGAGATACTTTCAAAACATTTCACAACAGTGTGACCTTTTTAAGGATAATACAGTTACAAAATTATTTGAAACCTGGTAGAGTGTAGACTTCAGTGGAGGGAAAACCCTTTGTTATTTTCATACATTTAAAAAACTAAACAGAAAAAGATTATAAGCAGGCGGTAAGTGTTAATTAACCTGATCTCTGATCTCATATCAACATCTGGCCTGTGTTTGGTGGCGTAACCATCTACACTTCAGCCTTTAGACGAGCAGTTTAAGGAGTGATTAATGATCAGAGAGCCCAAGAATCAAAGCCGTAGCCACAATGTGGCATGTCAATTACACTGTCCACAGCAGAGAAAAATATCAGGGATAAGTAAGAGAAATGGTGGGATCAAAAAAAGCTGTGGTCATGACTCTTTTTTTTTGTTTTTGGGCTGAGGGGGTGAGAGGAAAGGAAATATGAACTTTAAGTGTTTTTTCATGGCTTTGTGATCCTGTAGGGAATTTAGGTTTGATTTTTACATCTGCTCATAGAAGGATGTGAAAGACTTTTTAAAAAGTCTAGCTCAAGAAACCAACAGGAAAGCTCCACATACAGACCACTGGTATTCAATTAAAAGTCACTGAGGACCAGTTATTAAAAGTTCCTCCAAGTAAAAGATTTGAAACCAAAGTCCAGCCTGTGTCTTAGAGCTTTCTCCTATGTCCACATTTACATATTTCAACAATATTTCATAGTTTCAATTATATTTAGTGTCAGTTTTCAACGCACGAAATGTTAAACTAAATGAAACATAAATTCTCTGTCCGTTCATTTGCTTTTTCCTCATCGACCATCCTTCTTTGGGAGCAAATTATTCACCATAGTCACCAGGCTCTGCTTCGGTGAGCTGCGTAAACAAATGATTTGATTGGCTCAACCGAGTGAAGCTATTGTTGTAATAGCTGTAACAGCAGCGCCTGCTGTCCATCGCCGCAACAGTCGGAAAAAATGCTCCATAAAAATGAATTTAATCTCGTGAATTCATCAGAGGTTTGGTTAGCCGTATGTGAACAGCTAGTTTTAGTCCGACTTTTCATTGTTATTAGATAAGGGACTGATGGTGTTGCATCAGGATGTAATTCATGTTGCACTGCACACTGATAATATTTCTAGCACTGTTGAGTGTTCAAAAGTGTGAGTGTCATGTCAGGTCAGATAGAAGAGGGTTTACCTACAGCCTCACATCACATTCTGAGAAGCTCCTTATCTACAAGTGTGTGATAAACCCACTCTGCCCTCTCTCTCTCTCGCTCTCTTTTCCTCTTCTTTCTGCTTCTGCACAGATAACATCGCCATAACACCGTTTGACCAAAGGTAGTTCTTGAAATCCTTGTCTCTCACTTGTGCACACTCCCGTCTCCTGCGGCCACTCTTAAACTTTCATGGTATCTTTCTTTATACATCCCTCACTCATAAAGCTGCAGTCCTGCAGTGAAGATAAGAAAAAGCACAGGCCAATCCTGTCCCTTAGCTCTCAGAATCGGCTCTCACTCCTGTTGTACCTAAATGCAAATGTTGCCCTACATTTCCCTGCCTGCGTTCTCCTTCCTGCAGCGCTGAATCACTCCGTCTGAGTTCGAGGAGTGCAGGCGTAGGCAGATAAACAGAAGATAAAATTAACATGGAAACATGCAAATTAAGAGGAGAGGCAGAATGCCTCTGTATTTATTCTGTGTTTTTAATAACAGTCTTTTTTAACCCAAACCCTGCGCATTGTTCGTCTCCGGTAAAACACTTTGAGACGTCGCCAACCATCTGCAATCAGTTTATGTACACTGCATGAGGATTCACACATGTGTTGTGAGTTAGTGAAGAAGAAGAAGAAGAAGAAAAAGAAGTGTCTGGGTGCTTTTCAACTTAATTTCCACCACAAATTACACTGTGGAACTAAGAAGCATTAATTTCCTTATTTTCCCATGACTCCTTGCCAAATGCTAAGGCAGGCCGTATTTACACGTGTTTGTAACTGTGAGCCTTGTAAAATCTGCTGCAGTAGTTCACTATTTAGAGATACTGTATATCACTATAGTTATTATAAATGTGAAACCTTAACATAGACTTAGTGTTTGATTTGTTTTTTTCAGAATAATAAATAAAATACTGTATCCTTCAAGTCTCATGCAATTTGCATGGAATTTTCTCCAATTGAGATTTAAAGTTGGTTTAAAAAAGAAATGCACGGATTTAGTTTGTTGCAGTCTTTTATCCGCCTACAGACTCCTTGGCTTATGAAGTCACAGTTAAATGCTTAAACATAATTAAAAATTAATTATATTTTGAAAACCCAACGTTATCTAATAAAACTTAATGGGACCCCGCTCAGTTGCAATCTTCGTGCCTGTTGGTGGTTGGTGCATTGTAACTTTAATATAATGCAATGCAACACTTAAGGAAAATAGTTATTTATAATTATATTATTTATTTATAATTATTGTGTAAGGAAAGGGAAATAATTATTACCTTGACAGAGAAGTTCATTTTAAACCCCAGGGTGTAAATGTGTGAGAAACAAATGAAAACAGATTTCTCATTTGAACTTTAATTTCTCTGGGGAGTCTCTGCCAAATGTAAACATTCAAACCTGATCATCTGAAAATGTCACAGCTTTTGTTGATAGAATTCTTAACTGAGGAGCTTCTTGAAGACGTCAGTTGGTGAATGGATGAAAGTTGAAGTTTATTCAAACACAACATGGAAACACAGGGGCTAAAAATGTCGTGTTAATTCAAAGAGAGGAAATAAAAGCCACGTCGAATTAAACAAGCTGTAAAACAAGCAAAGACAATAGAAGAAAAAAAACCTTCACAGACACCAGACAGATGCACAAGGAGTGGAGAAATAAGGGGGGAGAAGGAAATGAGCCAGAGACAAACTATGGACAACACAGAGGAACAGATACCATAGGAACTTGGCCTGGCTTTGTGTGGTCTTCCATAATGGCCTACAGCCAGTGAAATGATACAGCAGTGCCATTAAATAGTGGATACAGGTCATTAGTTTGCTTGACTGGAGTGAGAGGGGAAGGTGAGCCCTGATAGCAAACAAACAGCATCCTCACGTGTTGGGAGGAGGGGGGTGGGGGGGGGCAGAGATCAATCAGAGAGATGAGAGGACAACAAAGACAGGGGAGGTGGAAGAGTGGGAGATGGGGGTGAGAAGAGGGGATGAAGGGGGATAGAGGCCCAAAGGGCAGAATAAGGAAGAATACCCTTTAAAGGTGTGTGGGTCAGCAGAGTGTGGGTGAGGTGTGAGCGCCTGGATGTGCATACATCTTTGTGATGGATCACGTTTGGCCTCCACCACTGCACCACCGATGACACTGCATACATCAATCAGGAGATCTCTCCATCTCCCGACTCTCTGACCTTCAGCTTAACATCTTTCACATGTCAATGTCTCATCCTGGGCCCTAGAGCTTCAGACAACTCTTCTGGTTTCAAATCACACACAATTTACTGTGTGTGAACCCCTGGCCTGTTTAGTTGAACAAATACTGAAAATTCTCATAGGAATTTCAAGAAAGAAACACAATGATCTTTTTTCCGCAGTCTTTTTTTTTTTTTAGTTTTTAAAGCCATCTGCTGCCACCTAGTGGAAGAGTATTAACTTGTTCTGCCTGTTATAGTTGCCAACACAAACTCATTTACTAATTGACAATGTATTTGCAGTAAATAAATAATAGTTGTCAGACCCATTCAGTGAGTTCAGCAATGTTAAATCCTGCCAACAGTGCCACATTGCTTCTTCAAAGCACCATATATGTTCAGTCAAAGATTGAATTAATAGCAGAGAGTGGTACACATTCCTGTATATTATTACTTATTAGAAAAAATAATCAAGGAAATGCAATGATTATTACGGCAATAGTCATTAGCAAATCCGCCAAGCATTAAAAATCTGGTTAAGATGCCAATGTGCTGGTAATCAGAGGAACATTTATGCAGCAATCTGTTGCCTACTGTGGAGTGTCATCCCACAGATGGCCTCCCAGTTTAAATCATCTGTAAGGTTTTCCAAGAGCTGTGGAGCTGGGAGGTGTGAATGTGTTTTTGAGGACAGAAACTTACAGATTCTGAATGTGTCCTTGTCCTCTGTCCTCTCCCCTCCTCTGCCTCCTCCACCCCTGCTCCCATCCTCCAATCTTCATCCCTGTACAGGGCTGATTTATGGTACCATCCCTGCTTGCACTCATTCCCTGTCTCTTCCTTCCTTCCTCCTCTTCCAGTGTTGACCACAGACGCATACAGACAATTACAAGGCAGCACTAAAAGCATACACTTTGTAGGAATGTGTACGGTGATATATGTTGTGTTTGAGGGTTGAAGAATGGGGCTGAAAAGAGAGGAGGGAGGGCATTTGCAGTAAACAACCCCCTCCCAGGGCTGCCCATCGTATCTCATTACAGTACAACATATATCCTTTCACATTCACCACTGACTGATCATATATACCGATAAATAGCGTGCAGTAGTGGAAAGTGAAAAAGACTGCGTGTTCGTCCAATTACAGGACAACTTCATTTGGTTATAAATAAGTGCAGAAGTGAGAGGAAATCTGTGAAAACCTGCAGAGGAAGCCGTTTCAACCTGGCCCAATTCTGCGGTACAATTCTTTTACACTCCACTGGTTTTGCTGCAGTGGCCTGTATTATGCAGCCGTCCTTCTTTCCTTCCATCTTTCTTACTGTCCTCTTCTTTCGTCTCCCCCCACCTCCCAACTGACACCCTCCACCCAACACACACTTCAACTGCAACTGAGCTGATCTTTATCTGCTGCCTCTCGAGGATGCTGAGAATCCAAGGCAATGTAGAAACATGACCAAACAGTCAGTGCCCAAACACAGGTGCTGTATGTTGTATAAGATTCAACGGTGTTGTTAATGTCGGCCCTGTAGAGGTACAACTAGGGAGATTAGCATGACACAATTATTCATTGTTTGTTTGTTTTTTCATTTGGACATGGCGAAAAGAAAAGTTGGCATAAAAGAAAGAAGGATCTGAAAACACTGTTGGTGAAAGAAAGTGCAGATCACACCTTTTTATAAATGAAGAGGATCTTGACCAAAACTGGAAGTAAAGAAGAAATAAACTGGAGGGAAAGACAAAGGGTCAGCCAAACCACAAAAAAAAATTATCTAAGAAGACAAAACGAAATATAACGATTTACTTTCTTTAAAAAAATAAAAAATAAAAAAGAGAAATGCTTCTGCACACAGAAGAGCTATGAGTAGCAACTACAGCCCAGTGACCGTTTTACTGACACTGTATCAATGACAGGGAAGCAGTTAAAGGGGGGAGAGCATCGTGCAGAGCCATAAACACAAGGCTGTCCCCCAGAAAAATCAATTCTGTGCTGTGAAGCATGGTATTACACTGCTGTGTGTTTTTCCCTCCACACCCTCCACAAAACTCCTGCAATACTATCCTGTCGTCCTGCCTTTCTTTCCTCAGGTCACTTACCTAACACTGCCGTCTACTAACTCTTCCATTTATCTATTCTTCACCGACGTCAGTCTGATTGGGTGACAGGTGGAGTGAAGTGAAACCTCTGAATGTTTCCATTTAAATACAGGACTTGTTTCATTGAAGGCTAGAAAATGTCGCCAATCTCTCAGCCTGTTTCACTCACAGCAGCAATTAAAACTACGCCCAGCCCGTGCACTAACCCTGACCTTCTAATTTTAACTCATTCCCTAAATATAGTTCTCCACACTGAAACCGCCCACAGAATGTGTGTCAGAAAGTGACGCCAGTAAGAAAAATGACCACGCTTTCAAAATTCTCCTAAAAGTAAAAGCCTATGGACGGAGAAAACAGAGGAGTCGTCCTTGTACGTAGGATGAGAGCAGGTTTTCATCATCATTTCATCACCAGTTTTTACTTGGAATATCACAAGGTTGTGTGTGTGATGGAGGCAGGTCGGGGGGGGGGGGTCAACACTTACGTTCTTCCTCTTTAGGGTCCAGCTGTGTGACACTGACAGACAGACGGTCCACACGCTCTTGCAGGGAGTTGACTCGGAAAGAGAAGGAGTGGGCTTCATTGAACAGCTCCCCAAACAGATCTTCTGCATATTTACCTTTACAGAGGAAAAACAAAATAATTACAAAACTATATTTATGTTGCCCCTAATGTCACTAAATTAAAGTAAAACAGTTTGTTAATGAAGAATATACCAATATATGTGTGTGTGTGTGTGTGTGCGTGTGTGTGTGTGTGTGTCTCCTAGTGCTTCTTACTGAGGCTGCTGAGCTGACGAATAACGTTGGCCAAGGAGATGTTAGTCACACATTCCAGCTCGTTCTTGATGTTCCTTGGCAGCACCGTGTGGCACAGGTGCCTGGGCTCGATGGAGCGTTTCACCAGCGGCATCCTTCTGCTGCTACGCCACTAACTAGAGGAGGCAGATGATGGGGAACGGGCAGGAGAAAGAGGGAAAAAAGGGACAAAGGTTCACTTTTACTTCATCTGAGAGAGAAAGGCTGTTTTTTAGACACAGCGTGATGGGCTGGGTAAAACAGGCACAAAGAGAGGACTGAACGCATGACTGAACCAAGAGTGCTGGAGAAACATAAACTGGAAGATTAAAGCTAGGAGGAAATGTTTTGACACGGCTAACAACTGTCACTTTACAGGATTGTCAGTGTGTTTTTCTTTTCGTCACATGTAGCCTGGTTAACGTCTTGTTGTACTTCGGCTCAGGCACTCCGTCATGCTGGGTGTATAACTCAATCATTGACCTTATCTATAAAACTGTAGAGCCACTGATGCTATTCTGAGAAACCCTCCCACTGGAGATGTATAAATGGAAGAGGTAGAAAGGAGACCAGTAAATATCAGTGGAGTGGTGATTCATGTTGGAGGCAACTTAAATGGGGGCAATGGTTTGGTTGCCTTAAATGGAAAGAATAGGAGCGGACTCGTTTTTAAAAAAAAAGCCACAGTTAAAGAGGTTTAAACAAGGTGTGGGAGTGATGTGACTGTGACACAAAGCCAAACAGCAGCAGCAGCGAATCCCTGCCCACATTAAGAATAACAAGACCCCAGATACTTCATAGTCCTCTTACACTCTCCATCACACTCTCACATTAGCCTTCACTTCTTGACTTCTATATCTTGGATGAGTTTTCTCTCGGAGATAGTAGTACTGTAGATATCTGACTGCTGGCCTGACACCTCTCCAGGCAAATGCAGTTCTTTGTGAAAAAATTCTTCAGAGTGCCTGCGATATATTTCTTTGACTGCCTCCTACACAGATATCTAAAGTATTAGTGAGATATTAAGGAAAATACTCTTGTTTTCTCTTAGTTTTTACTCCAAAGATACACAACAAATGTGAGTTCTGACCTCTTGTTTTGGTCTGTTGGGGATTTAAATTAAAGTCTTAATATGTGGCTGTAGTTGGTAAAATAAACCAAGAGACAGAGATGATGCCTGAAGTGTTTTCCAATTTCATCCATCTCAGATGGACCGTGAGGAACTGTAGACTGATGAATAATGTTGCAGCTGGTCAAACTTCCTTGTGGACACCTCTATTGGAAGGTGTTTTGGACATGAATAGTAAAAACATTCTGGTAAACCCAGACTATGGCCAGTCCTGAAAATGCTTTGTTTTGTGTCATTGCTGTGACAGGAAGTAGGTTAGGTCAGTGTCTGAGCCTCCTTACTTTGACTGCTGCTCCACGACCTGGGTGTGAATAAGTGTTGGAAGACAGGCTGAGACAACCTCACCTCTAAACTGAGCTCCTATTTTTAGATTGACATAGATTTTCCAGCAGAATTCCATATGGATTTTGTTCCGCTCTTCACCTCATTGATTCAGAACATGACAAGTCTTTCTGTAGTTTGCATATATTTCTATACAAAGGCCAACAAACAGAAATAATGATTAAAAAAATGTTTGTTTCCTTGCATACACCAACGCACGCCCGCACGCACACACAGTCTCTCACCTAAACACACACATGACAACATCACACTGTTCTCGTTCCCCTGCCCCCCGCTGTGCTCCTTCATGTCTTCACAGTTTAAATTCCTCCAAATCTCCTAATAAAGGAATGTGTTGTACTCTTAAAAAAGAATAAATCATCCCAACACGTGGGTCATGTGAGGTACTGCCTCAGGTGGCAAACAGATTAGTGAAAACAAGTGGAACAGAGCTTTCAGGGAGCGGAAAGATGGCAAATTATTAAAAACTTGAGAAAACACAGAATTACAGCAACAAAAATAAATAAAAAAGCAGAGTTCAAATTACTCAGCAGGTGATAAACGAGAATGATTTTTCACTCCAACCTTCAAAGACCCATCTCATTAACACACATTGAAAAAGTAATGAAATTGATTCCACCATCAGCGCTGGCTGTTAGAAGCACCAATAGTAAGTTTCCATTAATGTTTCCAGTTCCCATTACTTTTAAGTAATGCTTCGATAAAATTTCATTTATAAAATTATATTGTCAATAAAGTAATGCTGAGCCCAAGTGAATTTCTACTAATCTCTCCGCCTCTTACTCCACATTTCTACTGATGTGTCCAAATTTTACGTAAAAAACACAAATGTTAAAACAAGTGAAACTTTAAAATACAGTGTGTTGGCTGCTACTGTACAACAGATAGAGATGTGCCATGTGACAACACAGTAAATGATAAATAAATGTTCTGCGTGATGAGTCGGCATTTTATCCAGACTGCACGTAAGTGCTTTCCATAAATTATTACTCCTAAATCCCACTGAGGGACAACTACATATAAAAGCAGTCCATTATACAACTATGACTGTTGACGTGGGTAAATAAGTGGCTTACTCACTTAGATGGCTAATAAAAGTAGCCATCTGTCCAGCTGATAGACACTCACTCAAGACATGTGGATGGTTGTTTATGTATCTGGGCTGTGCATCAGAACAGTGACCACTCACAAAGGTTTATTCTACACAATCAGCGCCTGGGGAGAAATGTTCAAACTAAATGTTTGGCCAACCCTCAATGTAGATTGTCTGCCAAAAAAAAAAAAAAAATGAAATCACTACTTTTAATGAACTGAGCAGAAACAGTAGATCCATTGTTACATCTCAAGCGAAAAAGGCTAAAGGATAGTTTAACATAAACCATGTAAGGAGATTAATTATAAATATTTTTACACTGACAGAGACAATGAACAAATGACCCAGTGATCTACATCTGTACTCTGTGGTCTCTGACCAAGTAGAGGTTCAAGAATTTTCATTTTCACCTTTCTTCTTCTTTGGAATACATCCTGGGAGTTTCCTCTGTATCTGTGACTGCGCTGCCACATCACTACAGCTCACAGTGGGATCAAATGATCAGGGATGGCCACGGTCCAGGGAAACAAACCACATACCTGCTGTTTTCCTTTCCTCCTCCTCTGTTATTTTTCCACTCCAGACCAGTCAGCTCCTTTACTCCCCGCTACACACTTTACCACTACGGCTCTATACTTTTACGATCCATTCATCTGAGATGGTGCTTCCCACTGTCACCTATCACCATGGCAGCAGCTGCAGAGGCATCTTATTGGTCACTTTATGATATCCCAAGAGAGGTGGAAGGAGAGAGGGTGTGGAGAGAGACAAATGTGCAAAGGGAGGAACGAATGAACTCAGCTCAGTGCCATTGGTTAAACAGTGTTAGTCAAATCTGTAGACAAAAAAAGGCCCGTACGAGGCACGTGCCAGCAGAAAACATGGCACCTCTGTCGTCCGACTCATTGCCCTTGGGACAACACCTCCAACTGGAAACCTAATTGATCCCTACAGGAGCACCACACAGTATGGCTCCAGGGCTCCTTAGTTTACAGGAGGTCAAGCACCTTTTATTTGGAGGGTTCAGGAGACCAAAACCCACCCACCGACCAGATCATCAGACCAACCCAGTGGAGCTGTTCTTATAGCCTCAGGTTGCCTTCATAGTCATTGATTCTGTGATTAAGGAAAATGATTTCACAAGATGGAGCAATGAAAAAAACAGAACTACAGTTTGTGTTCAGCGCTGGAGACAGTTAGAAAGGAAATTAAACGAGGGCCTTTTCAAACAAGAGATCTCATCATTGAGCGATGCAAAATTCATGACCTGCAGTTATCCTCATTGGATTACAAGATAAAACAATATTTGACATACGGTAGAAGACAATACAAATCTGAAAGGACTTTGGCGTTAAATGTTGAACATGTAAAAACCAAACTGAGCTATATCTACACTCAGATATAGTCATCCAGATATAATGAACGAATTATTGGACTGCACTGAGAGGAAATTACTGTAAAACTCTTGATCCACCAAATAAAATCAAACCCCTCCAAAAGTTACTGACTTCCTCCAGCTTTTGAGTAATTATTCAAACAGAAGAGGCAACAGAAATATATGACATCACTGTCAGACAGTAAAATATTGATTAAAATATTCACCAGTGGCAGAATGTATCTTAATGTAAGACTTCTGCAAGTACAGGGAAGGCAAATATTTAATTGTGATGACTGCAAAGAAAAGTGTAAACGGAAAGGTGTCATTTTGTCAAAGGGTGTGGGAATAGTAAAATAACTTTTATAAATATCTAGAATCAACACTTACAGAATGCAACTCTTTGTAGTAAAAGCCTCTTTGTTGTAAAATCTGAATAACTGAACTCAGAGATATTCAGAATTCTATGCACAGCACAAAAAGGCAACAGCAGAAGCCAAAGCTTTCTTCTTGACCTGTTGACCTTGTAAATATTTTATTAACCTTTATTCCTTTAAATCACATACAGTGTTAATTAAATGTTAAATTCACCTTTGGTATCAACAAAAATTTTACTAACACATTTGCCTTATCTTATCATTCTTTCTGTCGTTTTTTTTATTTTACTTTATGAACCGCTGCAAGTAGGGAACACTCTCACAGTGTTAAAGGAAGCTGACAGAGGCACAGTAGCCAATAGCAGAGGGAGCACAGATCAAACTGGCAAAGCTTACCAGCAGCTGGTTTGAATTAGTCATGCAGATATGAGCGCGGGAAAAATCCACTGCTTCACTTTTACAAAGACAACAAAGACTGAGAGAAGAATAGTCCAGCACTGTTCCACTCAAAGATGATCACCGTTTTATTTAGACGTGGTAAACTATTTCGAAAATGCTTTTTAGAAGAAATTACGTCCCGCTTGGTTCCACTCTAATGAGTCGGCTATAAAATTTTTAAATACTATTTGTTCTTGCATTTTCTCTCTCATTTGGCACAAAGGACTACAATTACGTTTGAATTCCATGTAAGACTCGAAGCTCAAATACCCAGACGCTTTTGTCACAAAGGATGTAATTTACCGTCTCCCAAGGTTAAATCTGAATCAGACCTAGACCAGAGCATTATTTTAATTCTTCACAGACCTACATCAGTCCCTTTT